GTCAACAAGGTTGCCGGATCTTCACACACAGAAAACTTTCCACAACAGAGTACTACAAACCTCATTGCGCTGGCATTAATCGTTACAAAGTTATGAGCTGAAGAAATTAGGCTTAAAGCCGGGCGTAATATTACGCCCAGCTGCAATCCCGAGCATTTAAAGGCCGGGCGTAATTTTACGCCTCTCGGCGGTGAGGAATTTGAAAAGAAATACCATACCCCACGTACTCCCAACATTTACATGCAACAGCTATGGAAATGATGTAAATTCTAGTAACAACTGCCAGATATAAATGCACTACCACATATTATTATACTGTAGACGAAAACCTTGGCAATAATCAAACGTAATTATCACCAAAATGGGAATATCAGGAATATCATGTCTGTGCATCTTGTGATACAAGTAATCAGAAACTCACCCCTGTCCAATCTTTTCCATCTTGGTATATTTCCTGTTAGGATCTCCAACACTGACTATAGTTCTTAATCGTTCCAAAATTTCCTCATCACTCATTTTCTTCTTTCGAGCCTTATCACTAGGAGTTCTTTGATCTCCCCCACCACATGTTCCTCCTCCAGGACCTACACTTGCATTGTTGCGGTTTTTATCCAAGGTGCCATTGGTGGTGCGGGGTGGAGGAGGTGTTGCAGCTGATACAATTCCTTCTTCTTCAATTGGTTTTGTGTACTGAAAAATCAACAAATCTTGAATGTAAGTTACACATATATGAATACATTTAAGAATCTATGTACAAGTACTGAAAGAAATAAGAGTACAAAGTCAAATTTCAACTTACAAAAAAATGCACCACATATGGAGTATACATGGGAACCAAAACTTCATAAGGATGTGGAGGCAAAAACTGATAAGCTTTCAATTCATTTATTAAAGTGTTTACCAGCAGCAAGGAGTCAATGACAGGCAAGCAATGATAATATATACATATATAAAAAACAAACTGAACTAAATATATAAATGGATATATAATCAAATGTTCCCATATTGAGCATAACAGATAATTACAAGCAAACACAGAAATAATACACATAGTTAAATTACAACAATCAATCTAGACCCTTTCCTGTACAGAGAAAGTGTCTTCAAGGGAGACATGTCCAAAAATCTACATACATCACTTGCAGCACTGGCGCACCTAGCTGAAGGACTATGTCTCATCTCTCTGCTCACACAAAAAGTAGAAAAATCCCTTGGTTGGTCCTACGTGTGAAAGATATAATTTTAGTCTTCTGAACATCAAGTTCCATAAGGTTATCATCACACCACTGGTGTACTGAGTGAATGTCTGCTTGAAGAGATACACAATCTTCAGGAAACTTTATGTTTCTATACAATTTAAGGTCATCAGCAAATAAGAGAAAATTTGGACAAATTAATTTTGGCACAAAGGTCATCAATAAAAACATTGAATAGGAGAGGTCCCAAGGTAGGGCCTTGAGGTACTCCAGATAACACAGGATAGGGAGAAGAGGACTTTCCTGAGATTCGAACGAAGGAAGATCGAGGTGATAAGTAACTTTGGAACCATTTAACGTAAAGTGAAGACAGCCAAAAATTACTGAGTTTATTCAAAAGAAGAGAGGCCTTATTGAAGGCCTGGCTAAGATCAAAATATACACAGTCAATTGTCCCTGTGAGCAGACAGATGGTAGAACATCATTTAGATAAGTAACTAAGTTTCATTTACTTTCATAATTGTGACCATTGGCCATGATGATTTGCTGACATTTAAATTTTGCAACAAGAAATTTAATGTAAAATACATACACAAGTTTTAAAAAACAATTCCCTGTTATTAAAATGCATAACACATTCTTTCAAAGAATCTTTAAATTTGAAGTTTTCAAAAACTTGATGTGTCAGGATTCATAGCACTTGCATGATGGACATTGGCTTGGTATACAGTGTACTTTCATAAGTACGTGCATCTCTCCCACCACCAGTTAAGTACAACAGGTTAGGGTATTTGTGATATAAAAATTTACTTTCTTATTCCATATTACAGGATCCTCCTTGAGCTGTTTACAGTCATTCACTTATTTGAGAAATCTCCATTATTACAGAACTCAAAGGACCACTGGCTTTGTTTGTAATCTGACAGTTATTAAGGCACTTACAATTGATTTTGTTCTCTCAGGGCGAGCTGCAATTGGAGGTGGAGGAGGTTCCTCCTCAACTTCACTGCTTGTAGCTGCAGATGTGACATTGCCACCACCCTCTGTATCAGGAGTAGTTGATGAAGGACTACTGCTTGATGGATGACTCAAGCTATGCTGACTGTGGCTTGATCCTGAGTTGGTGGTTCCTTGGCGCAGGCTTGGTCGAGGTGATGGTGCAAGGTCCACTGTTGCTAAAAAATAATCATTCTTCTAACAGGGTTAACAGTTAAATTCTCCTAAACTTCAGCTCCAAAACTAATTTTATGAATAATTTATTATAACACAACCAGGAGCCATGATTTGTTGTTGTTCTTCCACTCACTTTATCTGACACAAATTCAATCTCAGATGCTGTACAGATTCAAATTTTAAGATCAATGAGAATTTATAATTGGGCTAAATATCACCAAGTAACATTAACAGTACAATGAAATTATTAAATACAGATAAATACTGAAGAATGACTCAAGTATACTTACCAACCATTTTTGTAGTTGTCATGTACTTGGAACCTTTGACTTCTTTACTAGAACTATCAAACCAGTTGAGTACATCAAGAACAGCTTGAGGATTCTTCTTCTGTTCCTGTTTACTAATGTTGGAACTCATAAGCAGACGTGCCCAGGCCTCAGGCATTCCCTGCAAGAAATATATCGCCTATAAACAGGGATGTTGAAGCCACCACATAAAAACCAAACAAATGTCTAAGAAGTGAATATTAAAAATATTATGCCACACTTTTACATCAAACCATTAGCATTAAACACATTAATAAATGTGCTAGTATCATATTCCATTTACAACACAGTTCAAAATTTATTATGTTCTTAGATCATCTGGCTGCTAATTGGAAAGTGATATTATATGGCACCATGAAGCACAGTAACTCAAGTATGGTAACATGAAAATGCATACATGCAATACATTCACACCAACATTGTAATTTAATTAAAGCACTATATATATATATATATATAATATTAATTTTGTCAAAATGGTGTTAAGTGTCTTACACTCATTCAAAACAGTTTATAATCAATCATATGTCAGTAGAACCTAAGGTTCAACATCACTAATGCTAAAGCCTGCCACTGGGCATGATCCTGAGCCAATACCATCCACCTTCCATCCTCACAACCTACTGTTGACAGATTGAGAGTTGGTGAGACAGCTGCAGTGGGGGAACATATGGACTTGAGTATTCTACTATTTTCTCTGTGTAACATCAGCTTTTGCTTAAGTTGTACAGTACAAATTCTCTTTTTTGTTATACCAACACTTACTCTCAGTAGTTTTGGCACGTGTAGTAGTGGTGGATGAGTAAACCTGCCTTGCCATCTCTCAATCTGTGCCTTAAGACTGATATGAATATTATGCTATCGCCTTCCGACTGCCACAAACATTATGTATATATTTCTTGTCTATCTCACCCAAGCCAGGCCAGTCATCTTTCAATATTAGTACCAAGCTTCAAGAAATATGATTTCCATCCTGAGTCACCCATTTCTGTGTTATACCCAACATTTCCCTCTGAACAAATCGATCATTAAACTCTCGACAGCAGTGTCATACCATGAGTTCCCATAACCACATCTAGATTTTACAAACAGGGCACAGCAGGTGAAAAGTAACAAACAAGAAAAACCAAGAATGAACATTACATACCAGAATGCTACATTACAGATGTGGCTAATATAATTAAACATTAAAAACAAACAATGAAGTTTAATTACTGTCTGTTCTACATTATTTCTTGAAATGCCCACTGTCAAGGTTTAAACATTGTTGTAAATGTTCCCTGAAGTTCTGCATCACTTTCTGTTAATAAATCATCATAAATTCTTCCAACTTCTTCCATAATTAGTGTGAGGGTGACTTTTAAACACTTCGATTTTTAGGAAAAAGTCAGGGGTAGTTAAATCAAGAAACCATGCTGACCATGTTATGTCTCCAAATTGTACAATTCAGTTGCCTGGAAATGTTCTCCTTTGAATATTCATAGCCTGTCTTGTATTGACAATAAACTTACTTAAATAAACTTGTCTGAAAAAAGTTCCAATTTATTAGCAACTTGGCAACAGCATGACACTGAAAAATGTCCAATTCCCTAGCCAACTCTGTATAATCCATAACCCCCAAGCAATAAATTCTCTTGCTGACATCTCCACAGTTCCATTTTGGATTTTTAAAAGTGGAAGTAAGGTTTCATAAAGATATCCCTTCAAAATTGTGTTCAAACTGACACAGGGATAAAGTCACATTACAAATGTCAGTGTGTAGTTTATTCATGCAAATACATATACCAATGAAGAAGGCAGTCATGCAATGTTACAGCAATATACATACATATAATTATGAATTCTCTCAGTTCAAGTACCACAAAGAACAACCTTGCATACTTAAAGGGAGAAAAGGTAGTCTGCTAGTACCTAATTTCAAATATTATATACAGTAATACATACATCACAATAAAACAACCCCTGATACTTCTGCCTCAGTACATTACACAGCATCCTTGCATTTCAGGGGAAAACATAGGAACAGTTACAGGGTTGTATTCTAGTCGGCAGAATCATTGTATGGCTAGAGCACTAATAAGGAATGATTAAATGTGCCAAGACTTAAAATTTATATCCTGTAACCTAGAATACAATCTACCAACAGCACAAGCTGAGCATCTGCTACAGCCACGTGAAAAGAATGTAGTAATTACACAAAGATGAAATAAAGGGGCCAGAAAACACTTTTTTCCTGTATTAAACAGTCACACATGCACACACACACACGCAGAATTGTTTTAGACGTAAAAGAAACTAATGACTGCACACACAAAATTGTGCGACCAAGAGGTATGCTGAGTGATAAATTGCAATGCATGCTATACAACACACACATACCATTAGTCACAAAACCCTGCGTAAATTAAATACAAAAAATACATCTCACTAAATGAAATTACTTACTTTCAATGGCAGCTTGAAACAAAAAGAACACAAACAATCGGTTTCAACACACAAAGAGAAAAAAGCAGAAAACATATTTCCACATGTCAGAACACAGTTTAACTCAGGGTCTATATTAAATTCTTTAAACAAACAAATAAAGCTAAGCAAACATGCCATCAGAAATACAAAATCATCAATTAAATTAATATTATATATTCAAATCATCCACATTTGGAGTCCTCTAGTACTGTGCTGTACAAAGTTGGGTTTAAGGGCTTATGCAGCACTTGACAAGATTTTTGACATTTCACAGTTTCATAAATGACCACAATCTGACATTCTCTTGTATGACTTGCAGCAGTCAAAGTTTCACTTAACCCTTTCATGGTCACAATACAGAGTTTAAATATTGAAATTGTGTGTATATGTGCTTCATGTTATGACATAGATGGCTGTCAATTCACCTAAACAACTTCCTGCGCCTCTTCTACTGAAAATGCTGGAGACACAATTATAACAGCAGATTCTGTGTGGCCAAAATTTAAACTACTAACTTGAGGTTTTTGTCAACAGTACTCATTTCCTCAAAAGAGTGCATTATTACTTCTTTCCACAAACAAAAACTACTAATAAGCATGAATTGACTGATAATACAATGTGCATTCCTTTATACTTTACAAGCACCTGCTGCAAAAGAATCAGGGTTTGCCCACTTATTATTTCATAAAATGTTCATATACTGGATGTGTGCATAGAATAAAAATTAGTGAAATACACTTCTGGCATAAAATTATTTCTGAAACTGGACTGCACTGATATCACAACTTTAATTTTTGCATAATTTTTATCATAATGAAAAAATAATCTGTGTAGTTTTGAAAGAATACAATGCCAGGCAAGAGAGTTTGAAATAAGAAACATAAGCCTATGCAATGAATGAGTCTTCTACACAGAATTCCCCTGATTCTGACTTCAGGTATCCAAAAATAACTGTATAACCTGATTCTTAAATCATAAAACTAAGGAAACAAAACTGGACTCACCTAAAAACCAACCTTAAAAAAATTAGGCCATGACCAGAACTGTCTGTAATACATCATGTCCAAATTACTGAAAAATTATATTTTACAGGCTATGAACATAATAATAAAATTCCAAAGCCTCAATTTCCAGACAAATGCTCAGAACATGACATTTAAATGGGGTAAAATTTAACAAAACATAATAACCATTACTAAAAATCTAATTTTAACAAGTACAAGAAAACTATTTCTTATTATGCAAAGCTTTCAATTTTGTGACTAATACTACTACAGTTTTACACAAATCATCATGGCAGATAAAGCATATTTTCATCATGTACAAATATAGACCCTGGCTTAACTTATGTACCTATAGGTTAGGTGTGATATGAAGAAATGTGAGTATAAAATTAAAATTGTAATAATACTAATACAAAGTTTGGTGTCTAAATCAAGCAGATGCAATGGACAGAAGCAGCAAACAGTGCAGGAACGGAGAAGTAAGATTAAAGTATTTCAAGACATACACTTTTGTTTATACAAATAAATTTGCATAAAAAGATGTCAATAACATTGTTTTAAACTTTTGTATCCAGTGTACGAATGTAATATTTAGAAGTGTGGTGGCAGTGGTGGTGGTGGGTGTAGACATTCAACAAAAAGGCCTGACTAAGGCACCCTTTTATTATACCAGTATATAGTCAAAAAACCTTTACATGTGTGTAAAACAATATTCACTCACATACATAACCAGAAGAGGAGTTTTATTAGTAGTACTATACCACCAGACATTAAACACATTTGTAAATACCTCAGAGAAAACTGTAAGTACAATTTTAAAAGTAATTGTACACTTTTTCATGAAAACTGTAAAGCTGTATGATTAAGGAGTTTAATTAGTGTCAGTATACCTATATATCAACACATTGTTAGCACAGGAAATTCAAAATAATATACTTCTAGCAGAAAATACTAAAATATACATCTTCAAACAACCCATACCCTGAAGATGGAGGTGGTATATCCCTCCAAAATGATGATAACCACCTACAACATTACAAGCCACAATGACATGAATTTTAAATGTTAAACTGTTGCAGCTTATTAATGATACACATGATCTTAAGTTGCATTCAACACAATCCTTTCATGTGGTTCTTATGAATACTCAGTCTTACTTCACTGCACTGACAATACTTCATGTTTTCAAAACTGTGCATTCTTCTTATTCATGTATGTCTTCTAGGACTTTAATCTCAATTCCACTAAAAGGACCAGCGAAAAATAAAAAATAAAATAAATATAGCCTTACCGTGAATTCACCTGTAACTGCATCAAACCCAACATGAACTGTGTGTTCAAAATTTGTTGGATATGAAATGTTTGGTTTCTCGTTATCTTTCCCCTTCTGTTTCATCTTGCCCTTCAATGTCTTTTTCTTGCGATCATCTGCGTCTGGTTCTTTGGGAAGTGGACGCATATCCACTGGAAGATTTGGAGTAGAATCACCCCTGTAAGTCAAAGGAGTTGTTGAGTCAAACTGCTCTAAATTATCCATGAGTTATTAGCCTGATTATTATAATTTATTTACAATCATGATGTCTTCTTATACACAATTACCTGTTACTAGTCAGTCGCACAGGAGGTGCTGGGGGTTTATCTTCGTCGTCTGACATGATGACACAATACTGCTGCAAATAACTTAGCACTCTGCAAACTTCAATCGAAGCACCTAAAAAAAGTAAATATTAACAAATCATGAAATAATGTTAGGTTATGTTTGAAAGAAATTTTTCTGTGTTATAACAACAGCCGTTCTACTTATTTCAATACTGTATAAAGTTGTAGGTGTGGAATATGAAGACAAAAAAGCACTGCTAAGCCTCGTCTCGGCCGTTTGTGGAAATAACAAATACACACCTTATCACCGTCTTTCACTTAAGGTCTCACAGCCATCCACATTTGTATATAAGAAAGGTTCTATGATACCGTACGCTATTTACCAGTGGAAAGCATTACTAACAGCGATATTTAAGATTAAAGTAAACTTTTTGATAAGCCCTTTATCACCGCCATGAACCATCCCCCATCGAAGCAAAGAGAAACAACATCAGAGCAAGTTTTAGGCAGACATATTGACTAGACTCCGCACCATCTCTTGCTCCTGTATTTCCATCACTTTGAAGTCAAAGTGTGAGACACAAATGTTTACGTGATTGTGTACGATTGGGAGTTCAGGGGTAATACAGGTCGCTAGCCAGTACAAGCGTGTTTACTCTAGTAAATTTGGTATAATATATTTTAAAAGTTTTCATTGATGCTACATAAAATATCTGTGCCTCATTAATATCAAAAATGAAGAAAAAGGTTAGTGTCATGGTATAGTAATATTTCAATTACACTTCAGATGCATTTATGGACTGGCATGTTTCTCTTCGAATTTCGTAACATATAACTTATTGTGAACAAGGCACATAGTATATTTGTTTATTTTGTATGTCCTTCGGTAAAGTTCCCTTATTTCGCTGCAGGATATCGTAACGCAATGTCGGTTTTAATATTTGTAATTATATATTTATCCTTATCTGAAATTACATTGCATTTTATTTATTTTCGTTACAATTAATTTAACATTTTAATCAGATGTTTTTCTCAGCCAATTAATCCACCTTTAAACCTGAAAGTGGCATTACATATTGAACATTATTAGCAATTTGCCATGTTTTATTGGTTTGATAATTGTCTCTGTTGGAAAGCCAAAATTACAAATGTAGCGTATATTCACTGATTAGTTATGTGTGTTAAATGTTTTCAGGTCCTTTTAATGGGA